TAAAGATGTTATTGGAACATTTTAATAAGAGAAATTTAAACCTCATGAGAGAATAAATACCTTCTGCTTCTTCAAAATCACAAAAATATTGTTTACATCATCTACACATCGATCACCCAATACACCTACAATCATAACAGATTTCCAAAACTGCGTCCCATGTTCTTTTTTTCGCAAGTCAGCAATATATATATATATATTATTGTTCATTTTATAATATCATCTTCATTTTCAACCTATTTTCAGATACGCAATTTTGGATATTTTTTACTTTTTAAGAAAAAAAGAACATATTTTTTATCCTAGTCACCAGAGGTGGAACCCTCTGCTTAACTATTTGTGACGCATTCCAAGTGACGTCATTAAACCTCAAAAGATTCAAAAATACTTGTATCTAGCCACCTAAACCTAGGATGTTGGCAAGGCCTGTGGCACAGAATTTGCCACATAAAATGATATACATTATTTTATATGTGTGTGTATGTAGTAAAGCTGACAGCGGAACAAATCCGCGAGAAAGACACCAAGGCACTCCCAAAATAGCTGAGGTCCCTTGAAATCTGTCCTAATTGAAGAAATGTTGGAACACCAGTTGTTGTCTTAATACTATTTATATAACTAATCAACCATGTGCTGAAAGAGACTTCCCTAATGTGGCAAACACACACACACACACACACACACACACACACACACATATATATATAACTGGCAATATATATATAAATTCACAGATTAATCAATGTGCTTGATGTCATAAGGAAGACGAATTAAATCAAGAGATGAGAAACAGAGATTGGCCTCTTCTACATTAAAACCAAAACTACTAAAATATGATAGTACAGGGCGTTGGAATACCAAGTAAGCACATCCTTAGTTCATCAATTTGAATCTACTTTCAGAGTTTTTTGACTTTTGATTCCCACATTGTCCATTGTCCCTCCAAAACAGAGGACCAAATTCCATTCTTTTCCAACTTTCTCTCAGAAAACGACTCTTGCAAGTCAAAATAATCTTTAATTGTGATGCCACTCCCTACAAAACCCTAGATTCTGTTCTAGTGAATCTTCAGCAACCACACTTAGTTGCGTGAATCTCAACAAAATTAAAGTCCAAAAATACCTAATTCAACAACTTAGTGAGGGTGGTATTTATGAGTAATGGCACAACATAAAATGACATTTGGCAATGACCGCCTCTAAAAATCCTCATTCCACTCCCCATTTCAAGTTTGTCCACGACACTAATTCGATACTTCCAAACATAACATAAATAATTTTAAGACACATGAAAAATTGGACGTCAACAGTATATTTTGAGAATCTAAAATTTTTTCTTTAAAAAATTGTGTTCTGTTATCAAAGTTCAAGATGGAAGTATAAGACATTGTTACTCAAAAGATAAAATTCTTGAATATGCGCAGCCAAGACATTTCAAGTCGTCAATATATAGTTCCCGATAAAATTGTTTTCTGTACACTTTGAAGTCCAGTACCATTCATGCCAGTTTTAAAAAACAATGTAATGAACTAACCATTTACAACACATTTGTCATCGATTTACAACACATTTGTACCTTTTAAATTTACATATATTATCTTCAAGTTGTGATTAATCGGATTTATATAGTTTTGACCTAAGTCACATAATTCTTCTGAATGGGTAACTCTCTTACGTTCCACGCGCACACTCGCTGCTGCACTCTGCGCACACACTTACTCTCATTTGACTATGCGTGACTTAAATTTTGTCATTTTTACACTCCTGCACTCACATTCACTCCTACTCCCATAACCGCTCTGTGTGACTTAGGTTTTGACTATATTGTTTGCGATTTTTGATACAAATAAATTTACTTTATTCTGGCCTGCCTTCGCTTAAACATGCATGTTAAATGAATTTAATCAGAAAAGACTGTAAGAAGGACATGAGAGAGGTCCAGAAAATGCATAAGCTGTATTGACTGGGCCGAACAAGTTTTCTGTTCCCAAAATGGGCCTATGGTTTTGAGCGTGTTTTATTCTTGTAAATGGGCCCAAACACGTGTTAATTGCACGTACGCAGCCCTCCTCTTCCATGCGCGCCGCTCTGGTTACTAGGATATTAAACTTTTACCATATTCAGGGCATGACTTCATATAAATACATCTACGCCTGTTACAAGTTAATGAGAATATAATTCATTCAATACACACACTCTGTCACACACACACACATATACATATTAAGACTTATGCCATTATATTATGCAACTCTGATCATTACAACTAATTAAAAGCACTAATAAATCTAGTAGTAGTACTAATATCAATTTATATATGCATGAAAGAGTAAGCTAGCAGAGTAGCTTTATCAATTATGAACCTGTTTGTTATCATATATATATATATATATATATATATATATATATATATCATTGAATTCATTCAACCTCCTAATATAGAAAAGATGCAAGTGCCTCCAAAGCTTCACTTGGTTGAAGAGGATCATGACTAAAGTTCCAATTTTCTAGCATTGTTTCATTACTTAAATTGTCCAACACCGCTTCTTAAGCTGCAGGAAGAGGAAAATCAGAACCAGAAGCCATGTTCCCGCCACTATAATAATCTCCATTAATGCCAGCGCCCCCATTGTCCTCAAATTCCGGGTTAACATCTAATTCAAGAAGATCACTAATGTTGAAATCTACCAAAAAATTAGAGGAATCATCCTCCACAACTACTAACTAGGGACAGGGGCGAAGCCAGGAATTTGATTCAGGGGGGGCATGTTAACACTAACAAAATATTTTTATTTTAAGCAGGCCGAAAATATAATAGTGTAACAACAGTGCATTAGAATAAGTGAATAAAAAATGAATAAGAAGATAAGAAAGAAAAAGAAGGGTTATTGCACATAAATTATGCATGAGTGCAAGAAAAATAAATTTTTAAGAAGAAAATCGAATTTTTTAAGAAGAAAATGAAATAAAAAGAAAAAAATATGAGAGAATTTTGAAGGAAAAATAGATTTTAATTGTAGAAAGAGAATGCAAAAGTTTTTTAAGATGATAAAAAGAAATTTGAAGAATAAGAAGGAAAAAGAATAAAGAATGAAAGACGTTTTTAGAAATAGATAATTTTATGGGGATAATCTATAAATTTTATGAAGGTGTTTTATAAATATTTACAAATTATACGTATAAAATAAAATAAAATTTAGTAGATTCAGGGGCAAATGGACCATTTTAATAATTTCAGGGGAACATTTTATCAATTTTTACAAATATATGTAAAAAAAAAAAAAAAAAAAAAAGTAAATAAATTATTGTAGTGGGGCAGGTCAGGCAGCTGCCCCGGGCACATGCTGCCTCCACCACTGACTAGGGAGGAAGAGGACGGGCTGTCGAGCTCCCGAGTGGGAACATAATTATTCTTGAACATTTGATAATTACGTAGGTGTTGTGGGATGATAACTTTGGTGCATCGCACAGCCTTCTTTCGTATCACGGGGTGTGGTTGGATTCTAGTTTGTCGTGTCAACATCTCCTTGTTTTTCAAATTAATATTAATGAGTTGTTGTTTGGTAGAGTAGCTTTGATTCTTCTGACCCTGCACCATTCTCTTCCCTGCAAACTTTTACTTCTACATTCACTGCATGACTTCATATAAATACAAGTCATTGGTCATATTCATATATAATTTATGCAACAAATATGCACACATATAAATGTAACTGTTTGTACGGGTGTAAGGAGCATTAATAAGAGGTCAGGGCAAAAGTGTGTGTTTTACCATTAAAAAAAAATAATAATAAAAAAATAAAAGAAAAGAAAAAGAAAAAATAAAAAGAAAGTACTAAAGGGGTAAGGGCATTAATAAGTAGCATCAACTTATAGAAATTATAACGTCGTTTTAGTCGATCACAAATTGTCACTCAATAAAACATGCATGGAAGAGTAACTAATGCACATGTCAACTCCACAATTTGCATTCTCCGACGAGAGTAAATTGGAATTCATGACTACTTATTCTTCAATCGCTCATTCATTAAGCCCTTATGGTCATTTCTGTAAGCACGATGTGAGTTTCATATCCAATCATCTTCTTGGGCAGAGTTAATTTCATGAGCCTCTCACCATTGGAAAGGCAACTCCGAATTTCATAACAATTCAGTTTCCAAATTGGGTTTGGCATTTCTGGTTTACAATATCTGGAATGAGCGTAGTCGGAGAATGTTCAAGAAGAAAAATCTCACCGCCAATTCGGTCCTCCATCTAACATTGGAATCCATCCGATCTGAGCTGCTCTTATCTTCAATCACGGACTCACACAATGCACGAAGAGTTGTGGCAGAATGGGAACTTCCAGAGAGCGTTGTCAGACCATCGGCTAACCCGCCAGGCCAAAGGAATTGAAGTGGTAGCAGGGAGATGAACGTTCACTGGATTGCAAGGATGACCAGTAACGGTCATGAAATAAGCATTTGAATGCTGATTTTGGGCTTGGTTGTAAAATTGGGTCCTTGAGCTTAGTTATATGTGACTGTTTTATGTGAATAGAAGATGACACTATCATTGCGTCATTAAATATGATGATGTCATGTTCAAGTTTTCCTTATTTACATAATTTTAGTCAAATTCATGAGTATGAATTTCGAACTCTGCAGTATCATTACTTATCACATATACATCAATCAATTCATTCAACCTCCTAATCAATTTAGAAAAGATGCAAGTGTCTCCAAAGCTTCACTTGGTTGAAGATCACTAAAGTTCCGATTTTCTAGCATTGCTTCTTCATCGGTTAAATTTCTCAGCATAGCTTCATAACCAGGAAGAGGAAGATCAGAACCAGAAGCCAGGTTCATGCCACTGTAGTCTCCATTGCCACCCCCATTGTAGTCAAATTCCGAGTAGTGTAATAATAAGTAGTGTAACTGTTTTATGTGAGTAGAATTGATAATTAAATATGATGACGTCGTCATAATATTTTCTTTATTCACATCATTTTAGTCAAATACGTAGGAATTTAAAACTCTATATCATTAGTCATCACATATACATCAATCAATTCATTCAACCTCCAAATTTAGAAAAGATGCAAGTGCCTCCAAAGCTTCACTCGGTTGAAGATCACTAAAGTTCCGATTTTCTACAATTCCTTCTTCATTAGTTAAATTTCTCAGCATAGCTTCAGAAGCAGGAAGAGGAAAATCATAACCAGAAGCCATGTTCATGCCGCTGTAGTCTCCATTGCCACCACCATTGTCGTCAAATTCCGAGTTAAGAACATCTGATACAAGAAGGTCACTGATGTTGAAATCCGAAAAAAAATTGCAGGAATCGTCCTCCATAGCTAGGGAGGAAGAGGACGGGTTGTAGCGGTCCCAAGTGGGAACATAACTACTACTTCCCTTGAACAACATCTGATTATCTTGCAGCTGGTGGTGTTGTGGGATGATAACCTTGGTGCATCGCCGGGCCTTAGTTCGTATCACGGGGTGTGGTTGGATTTGTGGCATTGAGGAATATTTCCCCATAGCTTCCTTCTTTTTCAAATTATTGAGTTGTTGTTTGGTAGAGTTTTGGTTCTTCTGACCCTGCATTCTCTTTCTCAAATTGGTGTTCCAGTAGTTCTTGATTTCATTGTCGGTTCGCCCCGGTAGTCTTCCAGCAATAAGCGCCCATCTGCAGCAGCTATAGCACCATGAATCCAATATATACGAAACAAAAATTGTAAATACATAATCACCCTATCTGTCTTTACAGAACATGTACTAAATAATGTTACACCAAGAAAAAAAAAAAAAAAAGAAAAAAAAAGAAGGCTCCATTTCAGCTTGCATGCATTTAGCCCATGCAAAAGGATTAGTTTTAGAATTCAATGAAATAAGGCCATTGAATTTTTTAACTATTTTAAAGTTAGTGGCATGTTATTTTTTTATTTTTTAAATAGTAATGCATAAAATCAAACACATTATAATTAAAAAAAAATTCATATTGTGTACATAAATTATAGTAATAAATTTAAATAAGAATAAGAGAAAAAGAAAAAAAAAAAAAAAAAAGGAGTAAATAAGTGCAAAATAAATAAATAAATAAATAATAAAAATAAAAAAGACGAAGAGGAAGAAGAAAAAGGAAAGAAAAAAAAAAATGAGAGTGCTTTGAAGGGGAAAAAAGTTGAGGTTTGATTGAAGAAGGGGAATGTAACTCCTTTTTTTTTTTTCTCTAAGGAAATTCAAAGGAATTTGAGGAGCAAAACAGAAAAAGAAAAAGAAAGAAAGAAAGAATTTTAGCATTTGTAAATGGGTTAAATTTTACTTACTTCCCTAAGGTTTGTGAATATTCAACATATACCCCTCTATTTTTCATAATTCCATTTATCTCCCCTGTCAATGATGGCCATGGCAACAAATCAACGATAATGTGTAATGTTACCATTTTGCCCATGAAATCTTTGCTGCAAAATTGACCCAAACCAAAAGCCCTCTCATGGGAAGCGGTTTGGGTTTACCAGAACGAGGGGTCAAGCAAGTTCTATTCCTTATGGAATGTATGACTTTCTTTGCTTTAAATAATGACTTAGCTTAGGCATTCTGGCCTTTTACCAATTTTCTTTTTTTAACATCAACAGAGATTCTGTTTATCTCCATTAGGTGCCTAACAAAAGGAACAATTTATTACATATTAATTGTAAAATGTAAGACGTTCACTTCCCTAATGTAACACATTTACTGCATGATGTAGAACTTCTATTTAAAAAACGTAAAATATATGACTAACTAACAGAGAAGGTGTTTTCGTTAGTCCTTAAGTGAAAGTTTTACATCATGTCATAAACGTTTTATATTCTACAGTATAGTAAAGTAAGTGAAATTGGTCCATTTAATACAACACTAACTAGACCTTCTAAGTATTTCAAAATAATGAACAGTAAAAGTTAATTTGAAGAATTCGTCTAATTGTAATTTGATAAATTTGACTTCACTTAGACTGTAAAATGCCTTGTGTATTTGTAATTTTCCCACTACTTTTTACTTAAAATTTATGATAGAATAACTAAAACTATGAAGAGATGGAGGTAGGGAGGGAGGGACGGAGGGAGAGAGAGAGAGATATATATATGAAGCAGAGCTTCTTGCTCTGGAATTCATTATTGGAGAAGTGGTCACTCACCCCCTCCCTTCTATGCTGTAGTAAAAGGAAATAAAGAAATAATTCCACATACTAGCTTGGAGAGAGATTACCTATTACCAAGGAGATTATGCAGTCTGATAATGAGATCTTCTTCTTCCTCAGTAATGTTACCTCTTTTAATGTCTGGCCTAAGATAGTTCAGCCACCGGAGTCTGCAACTCTTACAGCAACGATTCAACCCTAAAAACAAACCATGGAGCAAATATTGATGAAAACAAAGTACATACCACAAATATTATTGAAATAAAAAGTAAGTAGAGTGATAGAGCATGCACATGCAACATTTTAAATTTGTACCAGCTCTTTGAGGAAGGTCTCTCCATTTGCCTTCTCCATGGATTTTGATGTAATTAGATAGAATCCTATCTTCCTGAGCAGTCCATGCTCCTCTCTCCAGTCCTACTTTCGCACAGCATGGCATCCTTCCCATTTATTAGTCTCTGTGTTTGTGTGTGTGATGGAAAGCCGTCTTTACTTCTGCAACATTTTTAATTTATAGGGTGAAATGCAAAAAAAATTCCTTGAACTATTGGCTAATATGCAACAAACCCCCTTGAATTACAAAAATTACAAAAAACTCCTTAAATTATACATTTTTGTTGCAAATAGCCCCATTCCCATTCGGCGAAAAACCGTTGAATTTCACCTTTTAGGTGACACACAATATACTATTTAATGACTATAATACCCTTATGAAGACGAAAAGACTCTATTACCCCACCACAACACTCAAACCCCTCTTTAACTTCTTTTACATCCAAACACAACCTTATCCTTTCGTCTACATATAGAGAGAGAGAGAGAGAGAAAAATGCTGTTCATCATCTTCCTGATATAAATTAGAAAAAAAAAAAAAAATCTTGCTACAGTCGAATTTAACCTTGTTGGCCAAACTGAACCCATATATATATATAGACAGAGGGAGAATGAGAGAGATAAGTGAGATATAGATAAGTGAGATATATATAGATAAGTGAGATATATATATATATATATATATATATATATATATATATATATATATTTATAGGACATACTTGTGATTGCTGAGGAATAATCAATCAATCCAAGAAAGAGAACGGAGAGATCGAGCGATGGTAAAATTCCCTTTCCTGGAGTCCAATTACAGGGCATTCAAGTTTTGGGTTGCAAGAATAGAAGATCTTGTGGCCGCTCGAATTGATTGACTGAAAGGGACGATGAAACGATGAAGAAGCAGAGGAATCTGTTGCTGGGATCGGAGTGGTGGATGTCGTCTGAAGAGTGGATTTTCCTAATGGGTATATACTACACGATTTACCCATCTGCAATCCTTGATTTTCAAAATTCTTGATGCTGATCAATCCAAACACCTTATAACCTACCCGCACACCCAAACACCACGTCTCTTCTCTTTGTCGTCTCTAATATTCTCACTGTCTATCTATATATAGTTATATACACACACATATATATCGTATCTCCTCAGGCTCACTGAACCTCTCTCTCACTATTTGTATATTTACTTATATATATATATACACACACACACACACATCATCCATGCAACTTATTCGACCAAATAATAATAATAATAATAATAATAATAATCTATGAAACTTAGCTTAACCCAATTTCCGCCACTCTATATCATCCAGCATTCTTCATGCGCCACGTTCAAATCAGGCATGTAACTGTGTAAGAGGAAAACATTGTTCAATGCCCAAATCAATTTTTGTGATTAAATTTATATTCTGGTTACATCCTTCTCAAAACAAAAATATCCTATTTGTTATAAGAAAGCAGAACAAAAGTTCTTGGGTTTTAAGAGGGATTGTGGTGGTCCAGTGATAGTGATAGTGATAGTGATAGTGGCTTTTGAGAACTCCGCCTATCATCCGTTAACTTGAGAGAGAATAAAAAAATGCTGTGTGTATAATGTATGTATATATAGAGAGATCATCCATTAACTTGAAAAAAAAAAAAATTGCTGTGTATAATGTTTGCATATATAGAGAGATCATCCATAAACTTGAGAGAAAGAAAAAAAGAAAAAAAAAAAATTGCAGTGTGTATAATATATGTATATATAAAGAGAGAGACAACCTTATCTCTACTGCTGAGTTGTCACGATTTTATTGGCCTTTGAGATTTTACTTTACAAATCAGCAAGTTTAGCCTATAAACCCTTGAAACTGTGTCGTTTTTTATAAGGGCACCATGGTCTTTTGAATTTTATGGTACTGGAAGGTGAGGTAGCTGGGTAAAATGCAAAAACGATATTGTTCAAGGGTTTTTTTTTTTTTTTTTTTTTTGTCATTCAGAGGTTTCTTGCAATATCTCCAACAGTTCAGGAACTTTTTTGTATTTTTGCCTAATTTATATAAATAGATATTTATAGATGTGGATACCCTTCTTTTAAAGGTCTTGTCTTTACTTTTGTGTAAAATGAGACAAGAAAATTAATAAATTATGACGTCTTGTGCCCCACCGCCATGGGTCCAAATACATAATTTATACGGAAGAGTGCTTGCACATTCCTCTTTAAAGCTCCAATAATTCTATAATATAATAAAATACAAAACATAATTTTCACTCTTTTCTCTGTGCTAGGTCTGTCTCCTTTTGGGGGTGAGAGAAACGTGCATGATGGGGTAGGCAACGGCATCTTGCCAGGCGCAAGAATCTGGATGGAATTCTTTGCCTTGGTTCTGTAGCGCATGTAAATTGCTGGTGCAATACATTATATTGCAGTTTAATTCATACATAAAAAAAGTTATTGCATAAATAACATAAAATTTTTATATAACACTTAAAAAAAATTAGTGCATACCTAATCGCACGTGAGGGATTATATAAGCCATATAATGGACACAAAACAAAGCATGAGGATGAAGTGACACGAGGATATTCAGATTCCAAGTGCAAACATCACCACATTTTGGCATAGGATTATGAAGCGATTTTGTCGGTGGGCTTGAAATTCCTACTACTTCAACTAATGAGCTTGCTAAAGAGAGTAATTAATGGGGACAAATGTGAATGTGTGAGTTTCTATGGTTAAGATATTAAAAAAATAAATAAATAATCACAATAGCATCCCAAATGCCATTATTCTGATGAAGTGTTTCATAAACTCATAGTGCTTGTGAGTAAGTCATATTCCGAGAGGAAGAAATTTTTCCTCTATATGGAGATATAAATATGTATACTAATTTGGTTGTAAAATTAAAAGTCTAGAAGGGTTCTACCTTATTAAAGAAATATTTAAAAAATATATAAAAAGTAGAAAATTTGTAAGAAAAAACTCCAGGTTGACATTACTATGCGATACCCTATAAAATAAATCTTGAAAAATTAGGGTATTACATACTATGACATCAATAAAACTAAAATTTGATTACTTGACCTAGTAGTGTTATATTTGGCTGAGCCACCTGGGCTCATGTAATACTCCTAGTTTTAAAAAAGATATAATTGAAATTTTATTATTTATCTTATTGTTTTAGTTATTTATTTTTATTATTTTTAGGTGCTTACGTGGCTATGTCTTTAGATGGTTTCCTGCTTTATGTGTAATTGAATTAAGTGTTGTGTGGAATTATTTGTTAATTGATTTTGATGAGATGTGTGTTTAATTGTAAGTTTTATTTGTTAGATTAAATATGTCTTTCATTTTAGTTTAAAAGGATGGATTGGAATATGGGTAATGGATCGACCCAAAGGGGTCTCATGGACTATCTGAATGGAGTTGATTGTGGGTATGGATATTTACCCATATATGGATTGGTTGTATGAATTTATATGGTTATATACGTATATAAGGATAGGGTATTATTTTTATTAATAATTATTTATTAGTAATACTAATAATGGTAGTTTAGGTTAGTAGGTGATATATACATATATAATTATAAACTATGTATATATTTATGTATCACGACATTGTAGTATTATGTATTATATTTTTATTTTTCTTTCCGGACTTAGTTTGCAATTAGGACTAGGGTTGTTTCTGTTTAAACTATAAATATATACGATGGTCTGCAATAGGGTTTGAAAAACCCTTATAGCAGCAGTAAGGGATAGGAGGATATAGAGAGTTTTTAGAGAGAAAGAAGAAGTTAGGGTTTTGGCCAAGGATTGTAGGCCGGACCAAGGAGGAAGGTTGAGGATTGTTCGAGGGTTAGAACTGGAGCAGAGGAGTCCTTGACGGCAGTCACGATCGTTGGAAAAACTTAGGAAGACGGCGACGAGGTTTTTATTCAAAAACCACTGAGGCAAGTTATATTCTGTCTCTTTCTCCTTGGCCTGTGTTCTGTGCATACCTAGATGACCTCTAGGAATTTAATGAGACGTTAATTGAATCTTGTATGTGTAATATATGTTAAATTGATTATCTGTTGTATGTTTAATTTTGTCTTAAATAACTCTTGCAAGTTTGGAAGCTCGTCGTCTGTTTTTAAAGCATAACAAATTGGTATTGTTTTAATCGTGGTATTAATTCTTACTGTTATAAACAAGGGACTGGGATGATACTGGATATATATTAGACTGTTAAGACCATTAGAGACCTTAACATAGATCAACGGAATCAACGGAAGTTGCCGGAGATGAAGCAGAAGACGCGTAGTAGGCAAAGAGGAGGCTCCTTTAGCAAAGAGAAGGCTCTTGATTTGAAAGAGAATGCTCTTTGATAAAAGAGAAGGCTCTTGATTTGAAAGAGAAGGCTCTTTGATAAAAGAGAAGGCCCTTTGATTTAAAAGAGAAGGATCGATGATGCTTAGAGCCTGCTCTGTTGTTTAGAGAGCAGGCTCCCTTGTTTTGGCCTCGTTTGGCTGCGTTCCGGAACTGTTTGGGCACTATTTTGGGCGTGTATGGGATTCTGAATTGTTTAAAGGACTGGACTGAGAATTTTAAAAGTAATCTCAAGGGATTTTAAACTCTCTAATTGCATAATTTGATCCGCAGAGCAAATGGAATAAACAGTATAAAAATAAGCAACCTTACACGCTTTAACGGATAGGAAGGACAGAATTGTGTAATCTTGTTTTAAAATTTTAAAGGATTGTAACATGGACTCTAAACATGATATTATGTTGTAATTGAACCCACAGTGCATAATTTATCTCTATATGCTAATGGTATTCACAGTGTGAAAGTTTCAAGCGATGTCGCACACGGTTGACGGATGTACAGTATTTAATGCGTACATTTATTTTAGCAACCTAGATAACTGGAGTAGGATTTTTAAAGTTATTTTGGATGCATAATAGGGTCTTATACATATTAGATTCTATTATGGTTCTCCTGGATTTAATTGAAGAATTAATTACATATTTTCTGTCAATTACATGGATCACGTCTGGGTTTTAATTGAAGAATTAGTAAATTATATTCTGTCAATTACATGGATATTTACTAGATTTTGAATTGATAAACTATTGAATCTTGTCTCGTCAATTATATGGATGGATTCTGGATTTTAAATTGACGAACGATTAAACTTTGTCTCGTCGATTTCATGGATATTATTATGGATTTTTAGTTGATGAACTGTTTAAATTCTATTTTTATTAACTATATGAATTGTGTGGATTTTATTTGATGTACTGTTGAAAGTATTGCATCATTTACGGATCATATGCATAATATGCATCGGTATGGGACGGTAGCATATGGAGGGACGGATTAAATCAAAACGCTAATTCCTACCCATTCATACATACGGAATAGATTAACTAAAACAATTAAATCATACATGATTTCATGTCCTGTCAACTAAAACAGTTGAATGACATATTGGATAGTTGTTTATTTTATTTTTTAGGATAGAACTTGTTCGTGGGCTTGACCCATTATTATTTTTTAGGTAACAGACGGTTTCAGGTCTTAGAGTTTGTTCGTGCTGAGCAGAGACGGCTACTCATTCTTCCGACGACGTAGGAGTTTGCTTTATAGTTTAGCATCGAATTTTCTTCAGTTGTTCGTTTGTCTGTGTTGGATTTTTATTAGGGGTCCACCAGATGGATTCTCGAGTTGTATTAGAAATGGAGAAGTTGAATGTATCGGAATAGTTTCTTATTTATAAAATTTATTCTGAGGTTTCAGTTTCTAGATTATCATTTTAGTATTATTTTCAGTAATTTTATTTATTCCTGTTTATCTTCATTGTATTCTGTATTCGTTTATTGCTAATTGGTTTGATATCCTTGGGTAGTCGGGCGTGGGCCTGGCCAACCCGTATCCAGAAATCCGGGGATATCACAGCTCAGGAGAAGGGCAGCTAATAAATTCTTAACTTGGACACAATTTGTACAGATTGGCATGGTATAATTAATTTTATATCTACAAATATTTGTAGTTCTATACCTGAAAAAAGTTAGGTTTGTTAATTTAGATGTAAAAGTTAGGCATTTATTCTCCCAAAGAAGGTTTTTGAAAAAATCAATCAACTGCTTAGAAGTTTTTTTCCTGGATTAGGGTGGACTTAAAGAACAAAGGAGCAAAGGTTGCTTGGCAAGTTGTCTGCCGACCTAGAACTAATGGTGGTCTTGGTTTACCTGATTTGGAGTTGGCTAACAAGATTGCTAATTTGAAGCACATATGGAAAATTTACTTGAAGAAGGAGAGCCTTTAGATTGCTTGGTCCTTTAGCTACCTTATAAAGACAAAGAGCTTTTGGACAGTTAAATCCTCAGGACTGAGCTCAGGGTTTTGGAGGAAACTGCTTCGGTTAAGGTTAATGGCAAGATGACTACTAAGGCATAGGGTGGAGGCAGGGAAGGATATGAGTTTGTGGTTGGACTACTGGCTGTCTAATGGTCCAATTGTTCAGCAATTGGGACTCACTGGTTTGGAAATTTTTTAACTAGATAACAACATCTTAGTTGATAGCATA